TCTGGACCTCGGAGAAAGCGTTTGGAGACATAAAACTGTGGACGAACAGATGGCAAGAAGGCTGGGCTGGATCATGGGGGGGGGGGACCATATATATATATATATGTAAAAAAAACATACATACACGTATTCTGCAGCGTATGCATGTATGTATGTCATGTATGTATGTATGCATGTATGCACGTAGGTATGCATGTATGTATGTAGGTGTGTATGCTTGCTTGTTTGTTTGTGTGTCTGTCTGTACGTATGTACGTATGTATGTACATATGTCTATATGTATATATGAGCATATGTATACATATATACATATATATATATATATATACATACATACATATACAGATACATGTACATGTCTATCTGAATATGTATGTACGTATGTATGTATGTATGTATGCATGTATGTTATGCTATGTTATGTTCGGTTCTGTGATGTTATGTTTTGTTATGTTATGTATATAGGTATGTATTTCTGTCTACATATGTGTATAAGTATATATGTATGTATGCATGCATGCATGCATGCATGCATGCATGCATGCATGCATGCATATGTGTGTGTGTATGTATCTGCGTATGCATGTACATATAATATCATCTTTGTGAATGTGTATGTATATGCATGTACGATTGTATGCATGCACACGAATTGGCAGACGAGGCACAGGAACTGGGTCAACGACCTGTGTCGCAGCTCCTCCGAGGCAACCGTGAGAGGCGAGTGAGGATTTGGGACTGTTGGGTTCCGGATTTATGGTTCAGAGCTCAGCTTCAATATGCGCGCTATGCCGGACAGGCGCCCAGACTTAGGGCGAAACAGAGTGCCAATAGATGCAACCGGAGCACAAACGACAGGGCCGAGGGTGTGCAGTTGGCTGAAGTTTTTTGACATGCGCTTCTTTGCGAAGCAGGTTGATTGACTGCCTCCCTCCCTTCCTTCCTCCCTCCCCCGCCCCTCAAGAAGAAAAGAACACAGGAATCATGAAAGATAACGTCACGACAGGAAGCACGAAACAAGAAGGTCATTACCCTCACCCCTTCCCCCGCTTACCCCCAATCTCGGCGATGCCCAGCACGGTGAACATATTCACTAGGGGTGAGGGCCGTGAGGGCCGTTCAGATAATTGACCGGGTTCGGCCTCCATGCATGTCAGTGCGCGATTGCGCGCCTCAGAAGCATGTTCCAGGGGGCAGTGGGAGGTCTTCGGCACTAAACTCTAAACCAGGAACTCTCAACCAATACGAACCCTAAGCCCAAAACCCGTCGACAGTTTTGTGTTTTGGAAGGATTCTCGGTCTCTCCTCCGACTTCACTCCAAAGAAGTGGGCCAGCTTCTGAGAGGGATCCACGAAGAAAAGATCCTCGCCTAAATACCTCACAGAAAGTCATTCGTGGCGAGGGGTACTCAAATTGAGGGGTACCAGAAGGGTTGCTATGAAGGGATCAAAGGGGTACTATGAGTCATGGGCACTCTAGGAGGACGATAAGGCATATCCTGAATGACGGGCTGTCATGAAGGTTGTTACAAGGGGTACGACAAGGGGTACTCTTAACAACAGATACTACAAGGGCTATCTTTTAAGGACTGTAAGGGGTACTCTCAAATTCGTACTAAGTCGACACACTTTTGTAAGGCTCAGAACAAGGACAAGGGCGACGATTGTAAGGGGTACTAGAAGGTTGCCATGACAGACCAAGCCCATCCCATGCTGGTCGGTCTATACAGCTCTGAAGTCAACATCTACACTCGGGCTGTGGTTTATGGTGTAGGGTTTCGGATTCTTGTGATACAGTACGACAAGGAACGCTTCCGCGTCGCACTGGCTGGACAGAACTGCGCGGAACGCCGCCAGGGACGCTGATGTGTCTGCAGACTGGATCGTCAATGAGGTGAACTGCCTGCATGGATGGGTGAAGATTCGGAGTTTGGACGGCCTGCTTTACTTGCATCACAGGTCTACAGATAATTAGTCTCGTGCTATGTCAGAGCGACCTGAAAGAGAGTCGCAAGCCTGTAACAGCCTCCAAGGTCACTTGCCGCTCCTTTTCTGGACAAGAGGCTTCACGAAATGCTCCAGGGCATACCAGATGACCCACCTTAGCACAGCAACATCAGGCTGAGACTGAAAACTCTCGACAACTCTGATGTAGGGGCCTTAAGAATTGGAGTTTTGGGAGCCATTACACCATAGTTATAATAAGGAAATATAGGCAACTAAAGCCCCTATATTACACCCTACACCTGCAAACCCTAAACTGTTGTTGTGTTAGTGTCGAGGGGTCTGGGGTTCCAGCTACAGGCAGAACAGCTCCCAGCATCCACGATGCTCATGGCGATTCCTCGTAGGCAGTGGAGTCACTACTGGCCATGCAAACAAAGCCTTCACTCGAACTTACCCATAGGCCCGATAGTAGTTCCTTGTTGGGATTACCTTATGGGATTCTAAATATGAATCCCACAGTGCGTACAGGCATACATACATACATACATACATACATACATACATACGTACTTACGTACATACTATACACATATATATATATATGTATATGTATGTGCCTTTATATATATATATATACATACACATATATATATATATATATGTACACATGTGTGTGTATGTGTATGTAAATAGATGTATTGCACACGTACAGATATATACATATATATATATATACACCATCATATATCTGTACATGTACATACACATACACTTACTTGCACTTAATTAACGACTACATACTTGCCCTCCATCCATCCACGCGGCCATCCATGCAACGATCCATGCATCCATCTATCCATGCATCCATTCATCCATTCCTCCATCCCTCCATCCATGCATGCAATCATTCATCTATCTTTATTTCCGTTTATCCATGTATCCATCCATACATCCATCCAACCAACCGACCAACCAACCAAGCATTCATGTGGATCCACGCATACACCTACATACCGACCGACCTAATGCCCACACACCCACCTGCATCGTGCGAAGGCAAGCAAGTCCAGCCACCAGCAACGAACACACCGTGTCTTTACTTGTGCCCAGCGAGCTGGTGACAAAGTTGTTAGCCAGCACTCGTCAGTCTAGCCTCATTGCACCTATTCGACTGTCTCAGCTAGACTGGTATATTCGACATATTTCCCAAATTACGCAATCACCAAGAAGCTACCGCACCCGAACAACCCTACACCCCAAAACTACCGAGAGGAGTCTCTGAAAGCCGAGGCCTCGAGATGGAGGAGAGCAGCATCAAGCAGACCTCGAGAGGGCCTCCTGTGAAGCCTGACAGGCTTTCACAATCAGGGTTTAGGGTTTAAGTTCTTTTTTGTTTTGTTTTGTTTTTTTTGTTTCGGGTTTAGGGTTTCGGGTTTAGGGCGCAGGTTTTCGCCAAGAGTAAAACTTGTCTGCAATGGCTTCGGGGTTTCAGCAGCTTCCGTTTCTGGAGCGCAGTAGCCGCAGCAGTGATCCGAATAATTGCAACAGATTCGGCAAAACATCGCAGCCCCAGTTCTGACTCTTAGTCTCGAAATCGTTGCTTTTTCTGGGCTGGCTGGGGGAGCTTCCGCTGAAGACGGCGGCTAATGCGCCCAGCTTCTACCGCGCGTGTTGAGGAACTGGAGGCCGATGAAGAAAAACTCCTCGGACACTATAGGGGGCCTTCATAACTACCCATACCATTTTGAGGGCTCGTTCTTATAGCTATAGTAGAATATACCCCAAAACCCGATGCTGATAATTAAGGCCCTATCAGAGATATGCAGAGTCAGGAACATGCAGGCAGGTCTGGTTTATGAAGTTTATGAATTTATGGGGCTTAGGGGCCCTTGAGCCCTGAACCTCGACGACATGCTGCTGCAGAATGCAAGCCACAGCACAGCCTCGCTATGTCACATCTCTCTTCATGAAGCGGACCCGTTCTGGCAACTGGGTTTCTGAATGCGGGCCTGCGAGGGTTCAGATTGTCTGTGCCTCTGAACCATGTATCCTGCCGAGTTAGCTGGACCAAGTAGCCCACGATCCACAATTACAACCGTTTTCCTGAATTTAATGGTGCGCGAAGACGACTGCAAGGATGGTGTGGGGACCAAGCCAGGGTGACTTCCGAGCGGCACAGCCCAGTGCCTTGCGATGGTCGCAGAAAATGCATCCCGCGAAAAGCCGGCAAGCTATGAACAGCTCCTCACTGAAGCATCGGGCATCGGGGCGAGTTCAACTTTGCGGAACCAAGCAAAGCTGCAAGAACATGTCACATGATAGGCTGCAAGAGGGGTCGAAGCGCAATAATCATCACCTGCTGACAAGATTCTGATATTTGCCACTGCCACTGCCACTACCACTTCTACTACTACTACTACTACTACGACGACGACGACGACGACGTCGACGACGACGACTGATTACCACCATCCTCATTTACTCCTGCTCTTGCTCCTCCTCCTGCT